TGTATTATTATTTTGTGTTTCGTATGTATGTATTTGTAATATTATTTGTTTTTAAAACGCAAAAATAAACATATAATATATATATATATATATAAAATGGATAATAATATCAGCTGGAAATATTAGAGCATGCATGGATTTGTGATGCGGAATTTTTAAATGTTGTGGTTAGTGGAAATGTGGTGTAATTATAATTATTTGGGGTTTGACATACATATGTGCGTGTACATATGTATATATTTGGATGTCAAAGCACTTGGAATAAAACACACTGGGCAACAAAAATATGTTCGCCCCAGCTCACACACAACACTCTTTATTTATTTGTTTATTGCTCTTTGATTTTTAATTATGCTGGACGCATAACGTGCATACATATATGCAGAGCTTTCGTTCCTTGCTTGCTGCTTATGTAACTGCACTTGGAATAAAAAAACACACTGGACAAAAAATATTTGCCCGCACAAAATAATTTTAATTTGGGATTTATTTTATTTATTCTCTTTGCACTTTTCACTTGCTGGAAGAGATGTATATATGTTGATATTGGATGTTATAATATAGGTACTAAAACTGGATGCATATACAGTAGAATCCGGTTATAACGACTTTCAAGGGACCGACCATTTTTCGTCGTTAAAACCGGAAGACGCACTAAGCAAAAGAAGGAAAAAAATATTTTTTTTATTATTTTATGGTTGCTGTGTTTGTAATAGGTTTTTAAAGTAAATCAAATTAATTTTTTAATTAAAATGAAAAATTTAATAAATTAAATTCAAAAACATAGGTTTTTCTAAATACTGAAAACTGAATGAGCTTATTATTGCACATATTGCATTTGGCAAATTAAAACATTCAGTTTTACTCGGAAAAAAACAGAAAAAACTAAAAATATAACGGCACATCTCATGGAATAGACTATGAGGTCTGCACACACAGTGTGACGTCGGCATTGCACTTCGACTCTCCCTCTCTCGCAGCAGCGTTGTTAAGGCGACAGCTAAAACTAACAGAGAGTTGTGCCAGTGCAAGATCCTTCGTGTCGCTGCTACGCACATAAGCAAGGGTGCCGATCACTGGCAAATATGTACATACATTTCTAACGGCGTGTTTTGATGCTTAAATTTGGAACTATGACACTGTATTTTTTCCGGTACGACGCAATATCCGGTTAAATTTTCCAATTTTCTTGAGAAATTTCATTCTTATAAGCGGTTTGTCGCTAAAAGCGGAAACGTTTTAAGCGGAGGCCCTTTCATCTAACTTTGTATGGGGACCAACCAAACCATCGAGTTTTCGACGCACAACCCGGACGGACACTATAAGCGGAGTCGTTATAACAGGATTCTACTGTATGTGTATATATTGATGGAAATTATATATGTGTATGTAGTACTATATTAATTATTTTAAATTTATGCAATTTTATTCTTATTGGATTTTAATTGCTCTTGGAAATGTGGACTGTATTTTAGGAATGCAATTTCAAAAATGTTTGCTGGGTACACCGCGAATTGTAGTGTGTAAATGTTTCTCCTTACGTGTACATACATACATATGTTGAGATGGTCAGGCATATGTACGTACATCAATATGCATGCATCTGGATTTTATGTGTTTATGTATGTATGTAAATGGGGAAATATAAAGAGAGCAAAGCCGGAAAATGGCAATACGAAAAAAGAAGCCGGAATATGGCGATCGTATAAAGGTGGAAATAGCAATACGAAAAAAGAAGCCGGAATATGGCGATCGTATAAAGGTGGAAATAGCAATACGAAAAAAGAAGCCTGAATATGGCGATCGTATGCACAAATGGAATTAGCCGATCAGACAGATATAAGAAAATTGGGATCTTGGGAAATATCTGACTGGTCGGCCACGGAAATATGGAAAATTCGTACTTATCTTGAACTTTAAAAAACTCCGCCGGTGGTCGCTGGTATTTGTCGTAAATAATCCGGTCGATGGATCAAATGTTGATTGGGGCGGCGGGTCTTCCCTCAGCTCTCGAGAATAAGTCCAAAATTACCACAAAAATGAAGAACGCGGGTCGAATTTACTTCACGTTATAAAACAAAACTTCACTCTTTATTCGACTTCACGGTGACACTTGGAAATTAGAACTAGAACTTAAGCTACGGGGTGGAAACTTTTAGAGCCGCTTGGAGAGCGGATTGGAGACCCTTAACAGTGCCAGAGAGCGAGATGCAAGCGATCTGGAAGAACTGCTCTCACGACTGTTAAGACTCCAGGGGCGGTTCAAAAAGGACTGGAAAGCGCCGCTCTGGCGCGAACACCACTTAGCGAATAGGTGACATTATGCGGATTGACCCGACAAAACGTCATCAGCTTTCACTTAGAGCTGTTTAAATTCAGTAAATTGTCGTGACACCAGTTTTTAAAATTCTTTAGGTCTGCTTGAAGGTTTGAGTGACGGGAATATTCATTATACTGCAGACATAGTTTTACATCGTCCGCGTACATAAGTACGCGGGAATGCGCAATGATCGATGGAAGATCATTAATAAACAAGGTAAAAAGTAATGGTCCCAGATGACTTCCTTGTGGTACACCGGAGGTCACACAGAGGAGACTACTTAAGGAATTTTTGAAAAGGACTCTTTGTGTTCGGCTACTGAGATAACTAAAGATTCAACTTAAAGATCTGCTGGAAACCCTATCATGTTAAGTTTGCGAATCATTAGGAAGTGGTTTACAGAGTCAATTGCTTTACTGAAGTCAGGGTTTGCAATTACTACTCCGTAGCAGCGAGATTCAAATATATATCGCTATGCTATTGCTACCGCTCTCACTTTGACGAGAGCCGTAGCAGAGCCATAGCCGAACAACGAAAAATTGCCTGCTCTGCTCTGCTCGGAGTTTCATCAAGTCCGAACTATAGCTATAGCAAATAGCAAAAAAAAATTTTTGTGCTACGGCTACGCATAGCGAGAGTAGAAAAGTTATAGCGAGATGAAAGCAGAGCAAACGATTTTCTCCACTTGCTACGGCTCTCGACCAAATTTGTTATTGTTTTGGCTATTTTCTTTTTTTATTTCAATAATAAAGGAATTATGTCTAAAAAGCGACGAGAATAATGTAAAGGTGCATAAGAAGGAAAATGACAAATGACTCCTTCAAATCAAGGGGAAACTGAAAAGTTTATAGGGATAGGGTAAACAGCTTGGGAAGGGGCTTACACAATGCATTGGCACAGTGTTTAAGAACACGCCCAGGATTCCCGTCAGGACCTGGGGAGTAAACTGGTGTAACACGTTGAAGATCCAAAAGAAGGGAGCTTTCGTTTAAAGAGGGACGAAATATTAAGTTCGACTCAGGTATGGCGTATAAATATTGCTCTTTTGTATGAGACACTGTGTAGTAAGTGGTTTGAAAGAATTGGGCAAACAGATCGGCTATTGCCTGATCAGTATTAGCCGTCATACTTTCAAACGAAAGCGAAGGCGGAAAGGAAGATGATCTGCGCTTAGAGTTAACAAAATTATAAAACCGTTTAGGATCCCGTAAAAACTGGTACTTGCAACGAACTAAATAATTTTTGTAACACTGAGCGTTAAGCACGGTAAAGTTTGACCGAGCTCTTATGTATTTTCCAAAAACAGACTGACAACCTGAAACCTTATATTTTTATAAAGTCTGGACTTTAAATTCCTAAGGTGTGACAACTCCTTGCTAAACCAAGGTGGTTTATGGGATGTTGACGGGTTATATAGCGGAACACACGAGTAAAAAAACAGTTTGATTTCCGAATAAAAAATTGTAATGGCGTCTTCCATATTATTGCAGGAATAGAGATCGAATCAGTCATTGCCAGATATAAGATGATTAAGTCTCAGAAAGTTAGCCTTGCGAAAACAATGAATTCGCTTGACTGCTTTTATAGCATTATTCTTAACTGTTATACCAGTATCGATAGTCACCTCGAAAGCAGGATGATACGGATCTTCAGTCAGCGTAAGTGGAGATGCTCTGGAGAGAAATACAGTTTCAGGATTTAAGACACAAATCATGCAAACGATCTAATGAGTTTCGAACATGGTTTACCTGACACAGAGGTATGTCAAGTAGACCGTCAATGAATTCATTGTGGCCTATGGGTTGTAAAGCATTGTTATAAAATACAATTTTCTTTCGTTCCTCACATTAAACAAGTTTTAACTGTCATCAAGAGGACAGTTCTAAAAAACGGGTTTCTATGTGGCTTAGATATAGCGTCGACCACTCCGAAATTGTCGAATTCTTTTAATTATTTCCATTCGGGCACCCTCTTTCTGTAACATCTAAAACTTGGTACTTGGTATTGCTTTTTCCATCTTTTCGGGTTGTCGATAATCCTTAAATAGGCCAATCAACTGAGATACTTATTGGCTGAACTGCCAATACCAATCTTTAGTTCTACCTACTAACACGAAGACCGGTTCCAAGAGCGGGCACTGATGCTGGTTAGTAAATCGTAAGGGTTTAGTTTTTGGGCAGATGAAGTTTCCAGCTGTGCGTCTCCGTGGCTTGGCGTCCGGCAATTTCAAATTACTCTCTTTAAATTTCTTTACCCATCTGAGGGGGTAGATTGGCAATGACACCATTTCACGTGTGTATGTTTGTGAACACAATGTTCTTTAACGTTCTAAAGTTCGTTTTCGCCAAGAAAGTCCCGATTGTTTTGGATTTTACGAAGAGTTGGTTTTAAGAATATACTTGCTATGCTTAAAACAACTCTGATAATTTTTCGACATAAAATGTACTCTTTGTTCTCATTCAACCATACTTAAATGCAACACAGATAAATAAGCTTAGAAATGCCGACCGTCGCCTCTTATATCTAAAAAGTTTGCGTGCAAATAGCACAAGCATTTGTTACTAAACAAAGGATAACCAAACGCATCGAAATTTATAGCTGCAAGGGAATATTGTCTGCTGAATAAACAATTTTAAGTATACAAATTTTGCCTAACCTTTACTGTTTCTTTAAATTTCAGCAAAGCTTTACTTCGAATTGGCCTCGAATGTTGTGGCTAGCAATAGACCAAAACGGTATTCACCTACTTCAGCATCGTTCAAGAAATATATTATGCACTCATGGCTACGAATCTATAATATCTTTTTCTCCTAATTTAAATTCGGTTATGATATTTACTGGAACGGAAAAAAAACAATCCAAAGTGGTTTTAAGTACTTCCCAGGTAAGTAATTAACTTATTACTTAATAGTTAAATATACCACAAAAACAAAAACACATCATTTTTTTAAATATGTATGCATAAATTATTTTTAAGCTCATTGTAATAATTTAAATAACAATGTTTCTTTCCCACAAACTAACAACAATTAACAAATCCACGATACTCTTTTGGTCCAAAAAGTATACGTCCAAATGTATTATATTAGGGCTTAATAAATTCTACTCTCAACTAACAGAAAATATATTCTTACATACAGTAGAATCCTGTTATAACGACTCCGCTTATAGTGTCCGTCCGGTTTTTGCGACGAAAACTCCATAGCTTGATTGGTCCCTATACAGACTTATACACTTAAATCCTTCTGTTAGTGTGTCTGTCGGGTATAACGACGAAAAATCGTCGGTCCCTTAAAAGTCGCTACAAGCGGATTCTACTGTATTTCTAGTCTGGTTTTATTTCGCGAAAAAACGCTCAGGGTGGGTACTTCTGCTCATGTTGCCTGTATCTAATTACTAATATAAGCAGAGCTCGCAAATAACAGTCGACCGTTTTTCATCTTGAGCTCTCGGTGCGAGCACAACCGAAAAAGTTCATTCTCTCTCGCTCTCGCTCTGAGCAAGAGACCCTTGCTGTCATCATTTCTGTTTTCTGTTGAGCGCTTTTCGTTGAGCTCTTTGTATTTCGGTCTTTCAATGAGCAGTGGGTAAGGAGCAGATCGAGAAACGCTCGCACAATGAGAGTCAGCAGAAGACCGATTGACCGAAAAACTCAACGGAAACGGTCTTCGCATTTACACAAACACGTTCAATTCACGAAGACGATTAATATATTTCGTCCGCAAAACCGATGTTTAACGATTTGCTTGCCTATATGTGCACTGTTTACCTATACAAATGCAAAAGACCTTTTGCTTCACTGAAAACGACCGTTTTCACCGTTTGTCTTGTAACAAAACCGAATAGAAAAAAACGGTTTCGGTCTGAGCGCAACCGAACCCATCCACGAACCCATAAATCGGTCGTTCTTTGAGACTTTTCGTAAAGAGTCAGGAGAAGACTGTTATTAGTAGACAACGAGAAACGGTCGACTGTTATTTGCGAGCTCTGGTTTTATCACTTTAAAATTTGTACCGTTAAATCAAATGGCCGCAGAGTTGTAACATTTTCACACAGAGCTTAAGCCACTATCGATACAAAGTATCCAAGTTTGCTTACTACTGCCCCTATATGTCGGTCCGGGAACTAATTGAGCGGTGTGGTTGCATGGCTTCAATCAACAATGTAGCAATCCTGGGAAGACAACAGCTAATGTTAAGACAACAGCTAATGAGGTTGTCCGGGAACTTCACAAAAAATAGTCGTAAGTGATAGCATTCTCTATTTACGGTTGTATGATATAGCAATGTCTTCTTTCCGTTCTTTCATCCTTTTTTTTTATTTTTTTTTTATTATGCTTTGCTTTGTTTATTGAATCTTCTCCTTACGAGACTAACAATAAGTGTATCCAATCTTATACTATAACCTAACTATCAGTCATATAGATTGGAACAGTAAAAATAGCCCTGACAAATTATGCCTGGGTTGGAAGGTCGTTACCTTGTAGGTGGGTTCTTCTGGAAACCCGAGCCAGATCCCTTGCGAGAGGATTTGGGTGGGCTGAGAGTTTTTCCTTGTATGACGCTTTTTGCTTCTCTATTTCATCTTTTACTGCGAGAATGCCAAAGTCCCTGTGGATGTTTTCGTTTCGAATATACCATGGTGCCCCAGTGATAGTTCTCAGGATCTTTGCTTTAGCGCGCTGTATGATGTCTATGTTAATTTTGCTCGCGTTCCCCCAGAGCTGGGAGCCATACGTCCAGATTGGCTTAAGAGTGGAGTTGTAGAGCAGTACCTTGTAGTCCAGACACATAGGCGATCGGGCGTTTATAATCCAGTGGAGGCTGCTGGCTTTTAGTTTTAGGTGTAGTTTCTTGCATTCGATGTGTCTACGCCATGTTAGACGTCTATCGAGGTGGACGCGGCTGAAAATCGCAGTGTTGTGTTGCACCTCACTGCGAAGACTCTGTCGTAGAGATACGACTCGCGTAATTTATGAGTGTACCCGGGAAAGTGTGTTTTGTTTTTATGCATAAGACCGTTGAGCCAGACGCGGTGGAATGCTTGAGATACGTCGAGGAATTTCGCGCTGCAGTATTCTCTATGTTCGAAGGCTGTGCGAATCTCTGATGTTATTCTGTTTACTTGTTCGATAGTTCCATGTTTTTCTCTAAAGCCAAATTGATGGGTTGGGATAATGTTATGAGCTCCAATATATATGATAATATGCGTGTTGGAAGGCATTTTTCGCACAGTTTGGACAGGCATGATAATAGACTTATTGGTCTGTAAGAGGACGGAATCGTGTGATCTTTTTTGGGCTTCGGTATCATTATGATTATTGACTTATTCCATTTTCTTGGGTAAAAGCCAAGACTTACGATCCAATTGAAGAGTTTACAGATGACTTCAATAGCACAGTTTGAAAGTTCAATTATCATTTCTGGACTTATTTGATCACCGCTGGAAGCCGTTTTCGGTTTTAGCCCCCGAATGACTTTGGTGATCTCGTTCGGTCTTAACGGTGTTATCGTGGATTCACTTTCAGCTTGGATTTGCGATAGAACAAAAGATTTTCAGCGGGTTTCGGCTGGAAGACGCCCCCTGAGATGTGAGGCAAATGTTTCGGCTCTGTCTGTGTTACTGCGCTCCCACCACCAGAGTTTCTCGATTGATCTTAGTTGTGCGTTTTTGGCACCTTAATTCAGAGCCCGGTTTAGTTTGCGGGTGGCTTTGGACGTTTGGACATTTGGATGTCTCTTTGAGCATGGCGATCTGCTGGTTTGCCACGCCCGTCGCAGACGTCTCTTTTTCAGAACGAGCTGTTCAATTTGCAGGTTGGTTTTGAACTTCTTTATTTGCACATCATGTCGTTGTGGTGTTGAGATCCAGGCTGCTGTGACGATTACCTCGATCAGCGGCGGTAGAACAGCTGATGTCCGCTTCGATATTTAGCTGGGGGCTTTGAAGAAGGGTTATCAATAATGGGGATAAGGAGTGGCCTTGGCGCTTATTAGGATGCGCGGGATGTTTTTGTCACAGCGAAATCAATTAGATCTGGGATCTTTCTGGGATCTGCTGGCCAATATGTGGGGCTACCAGGAGAAACGTAGTCCAACTTATTTCTCTCGTTTATAAGTGCATTATAAAGTTGCCTTCCCTTGGGAGTAACGAGGCATGATCCCCAGTGCCTATGCTTGGCGTTGTAATTTCCAGCAGCTATGAAGCGATTCCCAAGTGAGTTGTAGAAATCCATGAATTGACCTTCAGAGATTGTAAAGCGAGGTGGGCAGTAGACAGCGGCGATGCAAAGGTTGTTGTTTCCTGACTGCACTTTTGTGGACGTGGCTTGCAGGTAATTTATTGCAAACCTTTGGTGAAAATGGTGTTTGATGCGTTCCCTATTTAAAAGGCCGGTGCCGCCGTGGGCTTTTCCATCGGGATCATCTGTGCGGTAGAAGGTATAACCCCGAATATGTAAGTTATATCTGCTTCTGAGGTGCGTTTAATACAGAACCATGACGTCGATGTGATTTGCAGTCAGGAATTGTGTTATTTCAAGTTTATGCCGTGAAATGCCGTTGGCAATCCACATGGATATTCGTAGATTGGTCATTTATTATTTGGACTGCTGTGATACAAGCAGCTGCATCACCATATTCTGGTTCTGTACCAACGTTTGCATGGCCGCTTTCATAAATGACATGAACTCCATCATACTTTGTTGCATGGTAAACATCATAGTTTCCAAATTGCTTTGGGGCTGGACTGGGACCTGTTGAGCGTTTTCTGAGTGTGGCCGGAGTGGTTTTTCCATGCCCGTTCGTAGAGCATCAGCGTAGAAGATGCCGTTGGTGGTACTGAGCGGACCGAAAGATGATCTGGCTGCCTTGGCGAAAAATACGTCTGGCGTAGTTTTTGAGTTTGAAGTCTGAGGATCTTTTTTGTTAGCAGAACAGTGTTTGGAATTGTGGAAATCTCCGCAGACTACGCAGACTAACTAAAGTGTGCAGTATGTTCTGGTGTGCCCAAAATCCTGACAATTTGTACATTGCACTGGGCCGTTCCGTTTGTGCGGTTCTTCCACTGTGATCCTCCGGTGCAGTAAGAACTGCAGCTTGTAGATCGGGTGCACTTCATTTTTCTTTAGGGTTTTTCTATCTGGCTCGACCTTAAAGAGTGGTTGCGGCTTTTTTTTTGTTGATAATGTTGCTAACATTCTTAGCAGAGAATCCCTTGTCTTTAAGGGCTTCTAGTATCTCAGAGGGGCCGTCGTCGGGCTCAATTCCTTTCAGTACTACTTATAGCCCTTTACTGCTTTTTAGTTGGTAGGTGTAAAAGTTCTTTTTTGTTTCCTCCAGGTATTTGGACACAGCTCGGAAGTGTTCTTCATATTTCGTTTGAACTTTAGTTTCGTGGATGTTCCCGTTAATAAGCGGAGCAATATGAAAATTTTCGTCCCCGACCAGCGCAACAATTTTGTTGACCAGGGCGCTTGAGCTTTTTCCTAATACAAACAGGGGGGCTTTGGTTTCTTTTGGGTCACTTGCTCCGGCTCAGCTTGGCTCTCACCATCTGCTAAGAGGGAAAATCTGTTGCTGTTGTTGGAAATCCTGGTTTTTTCTTTGGTTTAGATAGTAGGTTGATCTTTGGTTTCTTACCAACCGTGTTTTGCGGACTAAGCTTACGCTTTATTTGGATGTAGCGATCCAACCCGGTCTGTATGGCCGGAACCGCTTGTTGCTTTTCGTAACTTACGGCTTCTGCCGTTGCGGTTGGCGATGAAGCCGTTGATACCGATTTCGCAATATTGGTCGTTGCTTTAGTTGTTGTCGTTATTTTTGCTGAGGTAGTAGAAATTGAAGCACGGCTTGAAGCCGGTGGCGGTGGGGTCGGGCATTAATA